GTATCATGGAGAGCGACCTGGGAGAGTTTTTCCATAAAGGGAGGGTAGAGTAATGTCGACCCCAGAGAGATCCTTTTCCGGAAAGGACCAGGAAATCAGAAGAAGCGCCATCCCCGGAAGGAATCCCCGGAAGGAACACCCAAGATTACGGAAGGACAGTGGTCCTCGACGTCCCCAGCCAGAGAAACCTCGAGGACCTGCGAAGAGGCGAGTGTGCTGCGATCCAGACGTCTGGGAAAGTCATGACATGACGCATGGGATCCTAGCATGGGGCGGTTGTGACATAAAACCCGAGGCTTTCCTCGAGGAACCCGACATCACCTCCCGGAGGTATGTCCGCGGCGGCTCCCGGGAGAGCTAGTCACGGACTCTCTGGGCCTGGAATATCTGCTCCGGAGAATGCTCGGTTCCACAAGAATCGTCATCCGCGGTTCACGGGAAGTCCTCGGGAACACGTGTCGTATCAACCAATCGCAGCCGGTCATAAAACCCGGGCGAGGAATGTGGGCCACCCAGGCGATCTCCCAAATCTCCGGTCCATAATGACTCTGAATCCCAGCATAGTGATATCCAGTGTTTTAGCTTATCCTAGGATTAGCTCCTATCGAAGTGTCAGCGACCTAATAATTCAGTCTCATTTTTTCCTTCTAGCGCACAGAGCTCGTTCCTTCGGCGTTCCCGAGAAAGCAGAGCACTACCACACTAAGGAAGAGTTCGCGACACAGGGGTTCGCGTCTGGATGCTAAATCTCCAAAACTAGACTTTTAGTCCATTTGTCTGGTGTCCCCAAGGAGGCACCAGGTATTCCATATTGCTAATCCCGGAGCGCGGTCAGCACGGAGTAGGCACTTCATATTTCTAGGGTCGCGCCCATTACGGACGGCCTTCGCTGGTGGGGTCTCTCTCCGAATGACACAGAGTGTTTTTTCTAGTTGCGTATTAATACCTCCCACGGGGCTCAGGTAGTGCCCCCGGGCGATTGTGCGTTAAACTACCTATCCGGCGTACGCATAAGGTTGGGACCCTCTAAATGGCCCTCAGTGATTGGCTTATCTCTGATCCAAACAACCGTTTCAAAGGGGGTACACAAGGTGAGATTATTGACCGACTTCCCGGGGCTTACTCGTCCGTAGCAAATTCCTCCGGGAATCCACGGTCCTGGGCAAATCCCTCGTCCAGGAGAAGCAGACTACCCACAGGAACTTCGGTTCTCACACTCTGATCAATTGGTGCGTACTGAAATATCCACTCGCGTCGTGCCCCGGGAGCAAACGTTCCAAGCGCTCGATCACATAATCATCTCAGGAATGGTTGGTCTGAGGTTCTTCTCGCTATAACTATCACATGGTCCGCCCTCATGGAGGATTTGGTAAAGGGTGGTCACCAAAGCCATGGTTCAGACATGTGACTTGTATTCGATGTCATTCAGCAACTCATAGTAGTTCGCCCACCAGCGAGGGTCATCCGACTGGTTGTGGCCGAGCGTATAACCCAGGAACTGGTTCGCCAACACAGAAATTAGACGTACGCGTACATGGGTATTCACAGGATCAGCGCTATTTTTCTTTCGAACGAAGGCTCGGAGACGAGTCGTGCGTTTGCAAAAGTGGTCCTACCACACTTCTTGACCAAGCACGTTGAAGCCGTGAACAGCGTAGTACGTGACGCAGCGCGTAGAAGCAACTGACAGGACCACGGATGGACTGAAGTTGCTTGCAAAATTGACGTTGGACAAATCATTTTATAGACACTCACATCATTGTACATGTCAGTCTTCGGAAGTTGGTACTGGTTGATTTCCTGCGCCGGGAGCTGACTGTTTCGGTCCTGGATGAGGTACCCAGGTTCAAGCACATTCCCGAAGAGTTCTTCGACCGGCCTTGACAGAGGATGATGACCGGGAGTTGGGAATAGCAGAGGGTATAAATCCCTGGCTTTCCGTTCCTCTTCAGCCCAAGGTTATCCTCCGCCCGTCGGAAATTGAATAGGATGCTTCGGGTGGCGAGCATGGCGGAAACGAGTCCGACGATGAGACATCTCGCGGTAAACACCCCCTACCCAAGGCGAAAACTCCAGCACGCAAGCGCCTCAAGCGAATCGCTTCCACGATTCCTTCTTCGGCAGGCAAACTAAGTTCTTCCCGAGTTCCCCAGGAGAAGATTGCGCCGCACTGTGAGATGTCCATTCGAAGAATGAGGTCATCATTCCGCGCCGGGTTAAGTCCTTGCCGTGGGCTCCGGACATGGGTTACGACCAGAGATTGACAGTAACGCAGATTTGACAATATACTATGATAATGATGCGATGTGCCAAGAAATGATAGATATTGATGTTGCTTAGTTGAAAGCTCTTCAAGAAGTGATATCGCTAACACTTGATATCACTATCTTTTACTGGAGTGCGTTGATTCTTGGCCCATACGACTTTTCTGAATCGGTTGAAGCAGTAAAAGCGCCTTGTTTCATACGCTCAATCTCTCGACTATTGTGCTTCATCAGTAGCTGCTTTTCTGCCCTGCGATTTTCAGTACGAGTACGACGCTTACTCATCACGATGCCGCAAGAAGAGAAAACACGTTCCTGGAAGGCTGTTGTAGAGCTCCGGCCCAGCCAAATTCGAGCTAGTACAGCAATCGACGTAGGCACACTCGAGACATCTTGCTCACGAAACCATTGACAAATGTCGACGTTACCGATGACTTCATGCAGACGCCAATATCCACGACCATTGTGGTGATATGACAACTTGCCTTTTAAGGCTGCTTTCGGTTTTTCGTGTTTGTGAAGGTTCTTCTTCACAGCAATATCTTGTCGTTTTGGTGCTGAAGATCGCCATGTCTGCAAGACCTTGTCCACTTCATCGTTTAGGCCTCCGATGGAGTTTTCAGCTTCGAATGTTTGCATTGGGATTAAATCCTCTTCATCCATGTCGAAGTCAATTTCTTCTGATCGAGTGCTATCAGTCGCGACATCGGCATCGTCGGAATACTCGGCAGCGTGCAACGTTTTGTACTTATCACGGTGTTCTAGCTGCAAAATGGCATCTGCTGCCTAAAAAAAGCTTTAAATTCCTTCTCATTCTCGCGTTCTTCCTTCTTCTTGGCCGAGTCTGACGCATCTGGAGACGTAAATGTACGCCCTTCCTGCGCGAGACCGTCGCCAGTCTCGCCAAACTTACGATGGATTCCGCTCGGATACCCATCCTGGATCATATACAACACGTGCGTTCGCGGACTAGCCCGCGCTATAAGCACCAGAACCGAGGTTTCCCAGATTAAGGAAGGACGAGGTTCACTCCGTAGCAGAGCGAGTCCCAGTCGCGGAGTACCAAGACATCATCCAGCCTCAAGCTCTTTGGGATGCCACATTCGACAAGCGCGTCCGGGTCTTACTGTTTGCCCGCGGAACATTGACACCGGATTTCGTCCCCGTTGCGAGGCGCTATGTCTTATTTTTGTGGATTTGGTGCAAGGAAGAGTGTGAGAGAGCGCACTGGATCGTGCTGAACCGCAAAATTGAGGCCCAAGCTCTCTTCCACCAAGACCGGGCTGGGCGCCACTGGAAGCACGAGAGGGCCCTCAAAAGCCAAGCTGACGTGGCCACACTTCCCCCTCCGAGTACAAACTGTTCCGGACTGGAGCCGCGTCGTGGTTTCACTCTCGGAAACTTTGTGTGTGTGAATTCCCATGGTCCCGATGGCTCACAAAAGGCTTCGCGTCCATCTCGACATGCTGGACCAGCTCGCCTCTATTGGGGGCTTCCTGCGTGGAGGTGCGTATCGGTGAGAGCGTATCGCTCACCGTCTTTGCCACGCGCGTGGTGAATTCTGTCGATCCACTCCCAGTCCCAGCGCCCGAGGAATACCTCATGCCCAGCGGTTGTCGTTAGATCTTAGGAGCCGACCTAGCCCGAGGTCACTAATCCCGGAGGCTTCGTATAACCCTCGAATATACCTTTGCGTTTGCTTCGTCTTTGCCTTATCCGTATGTGTGTTATCTTCAAGTCTTCATATCTTTTTTGGTAACATGTATATGTCATGCAAACATGCAACCACTTCGGCCCCAGAGCGTATTCTCATCAGGGGACACAGGCTTCTGGGGGATATGCCGAGGCGCACTTTGCAGTGGGCTCCGGGTCCACGCCTCAGAAAACATGCACTTCACTCATGACCTGGAGAATACTCTCACCCCATGAACATTAGGTTCTGGGGGACACTCCAGCGCCCACTACAGTGATAGATTCGGGGTCCACGCGTCAGTGCTCTACCGGGATTCTTCGTCCGGGATCTCGTCTCCAGTCTGCATGACTTGGAAACGCACGTGGGCTCGCTCTCCTTGATCGAACTCGTAGATCAGCCTCCCGCAGTTGCGACGTCCTTGAAGAACCCTAGTCTGGCTACTCATAAACTTCCCATTTCACTAGGTATTCCTCGACGCGCCGGCTGGTGCGAATCCAGGTGAACCAGCGCACGTCGAGTATCGTATCGACTTCGTATTCTCCGGAACGTTCATCCGGATTCCAACTATCTTCACGGAGCAACGCAGCGTCGAAGTTGTCGCCCTCGGGGATGTCCATGGTTTCCGACGGTCGCTCAGGTATCTGTACCTTCGACCTGGAGGCGGTATCGGAAATCGCAACCTTTTTCCAGGATCCGGAACGGGCTGTGCAAGAGATGGGCCAACGTTTTGGTGAGTCCAGGGTGGACTCAGGCTAGGTAGAGCCACACTGAGTCCCCGACCTCGACAACCCCTTTGATCTGGTCCGGGAGCTGTCTCCATTTGCGGTTACAATCTCCGACCCGACGCGTTTTGGCCTTCGCTTGGAGATCCCGGGGCACAGGCCCTGGTGTACTCCACTTGACGCTGGATCTTTGTGCGCCACTCTTTGGCGTCTCGGAGCTGGAAAGTCTCCTATTATGGCTTCAACAGAACCGTGCACTAAATGGAACGGCGTGTCGAGTTGGGTAAAGTCCAAAGAGGCGTTCAGTGCCCACATGAGTTTCTAAGCCATCTGATCCCAGTCACTCTGATCCACCGTACCTTTACGCTTCGAATCACTGTCTACACTGACATATCTTGTTGTCCGTTGGCCGGGGGGCGATAGGCGTTGCCTGCTCCCGAGCATCTCTCGGAAGTGCTTGAACACCCGACCCATGAAGCGCGGGTCTCGGTCGTGACGGATCATCTCACTGGCTCCGAACTCCAAAACACACACTCTTCATAGGCTTCAGCCACATCTTGGGTTTCAGTGCTCGCCATGGCTTTGCACATCATGAACCCTGAGAACGCGCACTGGAACACGAGCAGCGCCGTATTTTCCCGGGTGGGCTGAGGTAGCGGTATCACAAAGTCCATCGAGACCGGGAACGTTAGTGTAGCAAACAAGTTACCGGGCGACGAGCCCAGGTTCCGAGGTAGCCCCTTAGCCATGGCATAGTCAACGCACCCTTTGACGTATCGCTCGGTGTCCTTATACATTCCAATCCAGTTGAACTCCTTGCACAGGCTCTCGTAGGTCCAGATATACCCTGATGGGCAGGGATCACGATTCACGGTTTTTGTCTGCGTTTTGGCAAGAGGTTACTGCACGACAAGGTTCTCAGCTTTGTGTCCGCACCGCCTTCAAGCAAAATGAGCGGTCCCATCGTTTCATCATGACTACCTCCGCGAGTTCATTTTACCTCAACAGAATGGTTGGGATGAGCTTCACCCGATGACCGAGGTTGCGTACAAGACACGTCACCACTCCATCATCGACATGTCGCCTTTTGAGGTTGACTTAGGATATTTGCCTCGAGTTATCGACGATCACGCGTCGAGTGCGATCGTCCGTTACCCAGCCGTGACGCTTTTCGTGTCACAGCCCACATACAAGCGGTGCTGCAACGTTGTCGGGACGCTCTCACCACAGCCCATGGACGGATGAAGCACTACTACGACCCCAATCGTCCCGACATTCCAATCACCGTCAGAGATCAGGTATTATTAGATACGAGACACCTCGATCTCGCTCACATCGGTACTCAAGGATGTCGCAAATTAGCCGTTCGCTTTATTGGTCCGTACAAAGTCGTCACTGCTACAACTTCCGATACGTACAAGCTGACACTACTACTGGGTATCGGTCAACATGACGAGTTCCACGTCTCTGACTTATGTCGCTACATTGAAGACATCAACCCTAATCGTCGGAACAACGTACGCCGCTTCCTGACTAGCGATGGAAATGAAGGGATGTAAGTCCGCGCTATGGTCGACCATCGCACCTGCCGCGGTACTCGACACTTCAAATTGCGCTGGTATGTCCCGACGAGTTTGATTCGTGGGAACCAGAGTCCAACTTACATCAAGATGAAGGGCTCGTTGCTGAGTATTTTGCATGTTTGCCGAATCCGCACACTCGAAGGCGATACCGCACAGCCTTCAACCGCCGCTCCATGTCGAAGTCCTCAACCCTCGACACCACAATTACCGTCAGTGTCCGCGTCTTCTCCCTCTATCCGTATACGCGTTTCTTGGTGGAGACTGTAATGCAAGCATCACCTACACCTCAGCAACATCGGGGATCAAGGGAGATTCACGCTTTGCCACATCAAGTGCAATTTCAACGGTAACCTAAACATCCTACGCCTCCACGGTATGTCGACTTCGGCCGATGCGATTAGCTCTGGATATAATTCATTCTCGATTTTAACAGCTAAGTCCAACACGACCTAATCGAGTCTCACTCGCCAAAGTGCGTGACACTTCGCGATGTACTACTGGCAATCAAGCGGTGTACCATTCGATCAAAGCTCAGTCACATTGACAGGTAGCATTGCATATCACGTACGTTACGAGACCCCTGCTCATATAGGACCACCTATTTGCTCTCCTGGGGCTCCGACAGTTCTCTAACAAGCTCAGGCCTCGCGCCCCAGTCAACAAACAACCCCCGTTGCACTCAGCAAACTTGTCGAGGTTACCACACCACAGCACCGCGTGACGTTTTGGACTGCGGTACTGTTTTTTTCTTCGTGCTGAGACGCTCAGGATACCTCAATTTCGACGGACAGCTGTATCCTTACTGCCTTGGACTGAACTATGTGACGGTAGTTAATTCAGCTGGAAATGCTATGCTAAACTACCAACTGGCGTCACCAGTACAAATCTGTACCAATGGAAGCACAACACACCATTATGGTCATGGATCTACCCGATTACTACCAAAAGCAAGAAAGCCTTCGATTTACCCCGTTTTGGTGTTTTATTACTGCTGACGAACGCTACAAACTTTTAACTTACATCGGATATGCCACTATGTTCGATTTCAAGTTGCGGAATGGCCTCTATGAAGATGATGAATGAAACCCTGCGACTGGCTGCTTGGAATATTGGACATGATCCTAGACTATATGCCACTCATTCGCTTCGCAACAGCGCAGCGACAGCTCTATTCCACGGTGGTGTCGACGAAGAGATGATCCAGTATGACGGAAGATGAATGTCCGGTGTGTATCAACGGTACACGCACAATCCTGAAAAACGAGTCCATCAACTCACTCACCAGATGTCAAATGGGTTGACAATGTAGGTGACATCTCTTGTCTTGATCCGGGTCGTGTTGGGTTGCCTTGGAGCATTGTCGTTGAGGCCTTTCTTGTTCGTGATCTTGAGATCCCTTTACTTGTTTGCAGTCTCCGTTGGCTGGATTTTGAGTTGTTGTGGAGAGATCGAAGGATCGACGACCAAGCAATAAATTTCGTGAATCCGGAGTTTGCACGTATATAGTAAGTCTAGCTCCAACAATCGACGCGCTGGTGCTGGGTCACTGCGCAACACACACCGGGCCGTGTTCCTTGCCGTCATCGCCATGAAGGTCTACTATGTCACAACTTTAGCTGAGCTCTCTCTCAATTAACTCAAACTAAAGTGCGATTTGGTAGCACTTTTAGAGGAAGATAAATCGTTTGTAGGTTAATTTGAGTCACTGGGCCTCGCACTCTGGTAATCGAGGTCGTGAAGAGCCCACCGAGCTGGTTGGTCAAAACAGTCGACAAGCAATTCTGATTGAAATGAATTCTTGGTGGTTGATTCTAGAATGAGAGCATCCAGCCATTGCGTCTAGTCGGCATTTTAACTGGTACGTTCGCACCTATAATAAACTGAAATCACTATAAATGCAACCTTGGCGTTGGTGACTGTTTTGTTTGCCTATGACAGGTCTCAGTACATTCTCATTCTTCTCTTGTTCTTCAACCCGTAGTCCCTGTCGCTATGCACCAGTCCGAATATCATCAGGGTTTGCCTCTGTTCATGGTCACTGGAACCCATGCCAGATTCCAAATATAGTAGACAGCCCCAAATCTGAATTAAGTAGCACAATTGCGCACTCATTCAATCATAGTACACATCCGAACACGTTCTTGGTCGAAGTTGCTTTTCATGGGAGTATGTATTGACTAAAACAACATGTTGTGGTTAGATTGTAGCAATTTTTGTATATTGTAACTTGCAATTTGCAAGGAGAAGATATGCTATTCTACCTTCTACAGACTATAATTGAAATGCATTGTAACTTGCAACTTGTAAACGTATTAATTGACTGAATCAACGCTAAACAATTCTTCCTCTACAGTGTGGCCCTTTGCTGCGAAGGATGCATTGTTAAGAGCATCTCCAACGGTTCACTGTAAACGCCCCACGCACGGATATACGGTGTATTTTACTGTGCTGCGTTTCTTATTTCCCACCGGTTCACTGTATCGGTAAACGGGAAATTTATCACACTATAATTTGCCGGGCGGCCGGTACCTCCCCGGCAAATCAGACGTCCTTTTGATTGGCTATTAAATTTTTAGGGGTACTTTTCAGCAAATGGGCGTCATACGGTATATCGATGACATAGCGAAGGCGCCAAGGCTGTATTGCCCTCCGCAAAACAAGCTCAATATACCCTCTATCGCATCCTCATAATCTCCTCTATACTAATTCTGCTACTCCTATTCAAGGCCGCATCAATTTGGACGTGTAGGAACAAATTTATCCGTTCCCTTTCCATGCAGTTTAACGTGCACCACCGGGAGAAAACTTACCAAAGACTATAAAACACATAGCGGGACCACACAATTCACTGTAAGCGACCCTTTACCAGGTCCGTGTACAGCGACTGGTTGGAGATGCTCTAAACATGATCGCGATAAGATCGAGCGATCCGAAAACTTGCAATATGGGTGAGATCAAGTCTACATGGAATGATAGCTCCGTCACCCGACCCATGGTTTTGTTCCAAGTAAACGCGTTACACCATCAACCTCTAGTCGTCTCCCCAAAAGTTTGGTAAGTTCACAGGTCGGAAGACCTGTGCTTCGGCGCAGCAAACATTTTGTAACATTCCGAAACCGGGTATCAAACTGGGTACACTATATTAAAATAATGTATTTTACGAATTTATTACCAAAGCCAGGGGTCCCTTATTTTTACTCTAAATGTTACCAGTGTTTCCCAATTTGAAGCCTCATCATTTTTTCGCGACAATAGCTGATCTGTAGGAGTATAGATTCTAACTCTATCCTATGGCGTCCTAAGTCGTGTGAAGCCTACTTCACTTTTTGCGCTCTGCAAAAATGCTCTCAGAGCAACTCAGTCAGTTGGACCTCAAAATTTCTGCATCGCTCCGGGTCCCTATCAACTTCTTATAACAGCCCTCTGCTTACGCGCATGTAGTCATGACGTGATCATGGTTTCTCAAATGTGAAATCCCGCTCAGTTGCACATGCAACTTGAATGAAGCTCACTACAAGGGTTAACCCTTTAACTATCTAGGAGTGTAGAGGGGATCTATGAAGCAAGCTCAGCTTTCAATACACGTACACATGTAAGTGTCCGGATCGCGATCATTTTCACTGGGAATAGCTGGCGGACGTTAACGTAAGTATGTTTATAGATTTTGCCTAAACTTAAAGTACCATGATTTTATGCGTGACAGAAGTAGGGTTTTGTGACTAACCTACGCTTCTCGGATCGATCACGGTCTTGGCCTGTGCTCTTGACGAGCACACTGGCCGCGATCTACGTTGAATGGTGTCCTCGCTCGGGGCTAACGTGCCGTCAAGATCTTGACCAAACCACCAAAATGGAGATTGGAACGATTCAAGGTATTTCATATTACCTTTTTTCTTACCCCACCTCATTTCTCTTTATTTATCCATTAGGTGAGAAGGACTACATCGAATGCGTTGGATCTCAAAATGAGAGACCTACGTTCAATTACCTTTTCCTGTGGAAATCACACCATAACCACAATGCTGGCAAAACTTCTTGGCGTATACATATGTATGATGCTACCACGGGTACTCCTCTGGAAGGGCTCCACGCCGTATATTCTGTAAATATTTTTCAAGCTTTATATTTTATGCTTCACACATGTAGATAAGACATATTCTAACCTTTGTGACGCAGATATACCGTGATGTCGCAATAGAGAGAGACTCTATTGGTTGGTAGCACTAGAAAGCAGTTTGGCACTGAAGGACTTGGGCACGTTGTGCCGTCGACGTTTAACTTGGCAGTGCAGTTGTTGTTGTTGTTGTTGTTGTTGGTAAATTGAGAACTGGTAGTTATTTTTTGATGATGAGGTGTATTGGATTACTGTCGTAGAATCCTA